CTTTGTTTACGTATCTTCTATGGCTGCTTTTGCACGACAGTGGCAAATTGAGTAATTGTGACACAGACCGTATGGCCCACAAGGCCTAAAATATTTATTCATACTATCTGGATTTTTCTAGAAAAAGATTTGCTGACCCCTGTACTAGACTGTTGCTGTCATGGGGGCAGGGATGATAAGCTCGACGCATAGTTAGTGTTTAATGATGATTAGTTGACCGAATGAATGACTTGGAACTTGGTTAATTTTGGAGGATGATGTTGCTGGAATCCCAGGCAGAGAGAATAGTGCGTGCCAAGGCATGGGGCCAAGAAACAGCCCTGGGGGTGCTGGGAGGACAGAGCAAAGAGAACACACACACACACACACACACACACACACACACACACACACACACGCTGGGGACTGTTCTTGCCCAGAGGTTAACACAGCAGGAGAAACGTTTGGCAAGGGAGGGCTTCCTTGAGGAGGTGACATTGAGCAGAGTCCTGCAGATGTATAGGCATTTCCAGAAGCAAAGGCCTGGAGGCCTGTGGGAAGGAAGGTGGGTGCTGGTCTCCGCTAATTACACTGCACCTAGATGTGCACGTGGTGGAGGTCAGAGGGCCAACATGAAGCTAGAGACGTTTTCAGAGCCAGATTTGCAGCCCTGGAAGGGCTGCCATTGGAGGGTTTGGACTTTGTCAAACTGGGGTACTGGGGAATTGCTGGGGGTGTCAGTGTAGGTTCCAGGGAGGCCCAGGTAGATGAGGAATGTGCGATCCTGGGCAGGCCACTTCCCTTCCCTCGGCTGTAGTTTCAGTGGCAAACTGGGAACTGCAGTGCCTGCCTCCCAGGGCTAGGCTAAGGGTTTTCTGAGCTCAGGGATGTGAGCAAATTCAGCCTGTGCCTGGCATGGAGAGGCGAATACGCAGCGTTTCGAATGAAATACAGAACACCCAGTTAAATTTGGATTTTTAGATAAATAATGAATCATGTTTTAGTACAAGCATGTCCCAAATATACTAAAAACATTATTTGTTGTTTTTCTGAGATCCAAATCTAACTGAGTGCCTGGCGTTTTTATATGCCCAATCTGGCACCCCAACTTCTCAAGGGTGCTGGCTGAACCTGGGTCTTTGTCAGTGGCCTCAAGGCCCCGAGAACCTGTCAGTGAAGCCAGAACCAGGATGACAAGCCGTGGGCCTGGACGCTTGGGGATGTGAGGCCTCGTGGAGCCCAGTCCTCTTGGTTTATGGGTTTGTGGGGAAGGAAATGAAGGGTCAGAGAGGTGAAGGGACTAGTTCAAGGCCACCCAGCTAGACATGGTCCTGGCATTCTGCTTCTCTCTGTGGCTGGTCAAGAGAGACTTTTGGCTTTTGAGGGAGTTCCCTGAGACAGCCCCGAGGCAGGCAGGAGGATCCTCCCGGAGAGTCCCAGAGCTTCCAGTATGGCTTCTGGAATCTTCGTAGCCATGCCTATCTTGGCAGCAGATACAGCGTGTGATCTCCACCACGTCCCTTACTCCATCCGTGCCTCAATTCATCCATCCATAAAATGGGGCTAATTACACCCACCTCACAGGTGAGTTGTGAGGATTAATTAATGTTTGTAAAGGCTTTGTGATCCTTGGATGAAAGACGCTCCCTACATATGAAGGGTCATTATTTTTATTATTATTATACAAGTGCCAAGTATTATTACCTTAATTAGCTTTTCTAGATATCAAAAGCAATTAGAGGGATCACTTGATGAACGCCACTTTGGAAACCCAAGTCACAGAAACTCACACACTCACCTGTCAGCTCACATTTTTGGCAACGGGCTGGCGTCTACCAAAAGGGAGGGCTGAGATTTGTGCAAGAAATTTGTTTCTGGCTCTGGCCAAGTTTCTCCCCATTGCAAAATTTCCCAGGCATTTTAAAATTCCCTAAAAACACAGGTTTTTCAGTGGCAATGCTGATATAGGGAGCTTTGGCGGGGGGGAAGGCTTAGCTTGGCAGCCCAGGTAGATTGGGCCAGGGATAGAAATTTGAAATGTGTCCTGTTTTCCCTAATGTACAGAAAAGACCAGACCTCAGCCACCAGGGCCATGCAAGCAAGGGGAAGGCATCTCTTGGTCGGGACCTACTGTGTGTCAGGCCCTGTTCTGATCTGTGTATGTGCTTTTAAATCACAATCCTATGCAGCAGGGGGGAACTTTTTGGTACTCATTTTACAAACAAGGACACCATGGCTCAGAGGGGTTAAATGGCACTGCCAGGAAGTACAGGAAGGATACAAACTCAGGTCATGCTTATGCCGTAATCTAAATTTAGGGTCTCATGTAATTTCCACCTGTCTGTGTTACCTACAATCTACCTGGCCTGAATCTAAACTGGCTCATAAGTAGCCAAGAGATTTGCTGGTATTTAGGAGGGCAGCGAGGACCACAGAGGACTGAGTAGGTCACTGTGGTGCCACCTACAACCCCAGCCTGGCAAATCTGCTCAATTGGGGTCTTTAGGGTTAGCTCAGAACTCTAGGGTCCAGGTGGAGGAGGGGGCTGTGGCCTGGATGAGCCCATTAGGACAGGCAGGACAGGCCAGGGCAGAAGCCAGCGGGGTGAGGCTCCCTCTGTACTGTCCAGTTAGCTGGGAGGGTGAGGAGCTGGCTGTAATTAACTTAACCAGCGTCCTTAACAGAGGCGAGAGGACCTTTCCCCTACTTCCCTGTTCACCCTGTCCAGCTTCCTTATTGGCCCCAAGGACCCTCCCAAAGCGGTGACTGGGCAGTGGAGCCCTGAACTGAGCCACATTGCCAGTGTCTTCCAAACCAAGATTATATCCCAGGTCTGCAGTTCTGCAAATCCAATTTCTGTTTACAGTACCTCCCTGAGGGCTGGGCTGGGGCCTTGATGAACTCAGTGGGTGCATTAGGAGGTAGTTGGAGTGATGAGGGCTTGGTGGATGGTGGGAGGGAGGGGTCGGCAGTGTAGGAAGAGGCTGACACGCTAATGGAAGGGTTGCTGAATGGATGGGATGGTGGCTGGGGGTCATGTTGGTGGATTAGATATGGAATTGCTTATACAGATGGAGGGAGGGATGGGCCGGTGAGTGGAAGAGTTGGCTTTTGGGTGCAGGAATCCATGGGGGTGGGTGGTAAGTGTACAGAGAGGTGGGGATTTGGGTGGATGGATGGAGATTTGGGGAAAGATAAATGGGCTGGTCGGTGAGGAGTTGAGGGAAAGGGGGTGGACCAATGCATGGAGAAGTTGGCAGGTGGGTGGAGGGGTCTGTGGATGGATGGAGACGTTTGGAAGACCGATGGAGAATGGTGCATGGCCAGAGAGGAGAAGCAGCTGGGAAATACAGGGGCTGCCTCTTGGACGGAGGGGCTGGCATGTGGGTAGAGAAATGGCGGCCACTGAAGGTCTTGTGGAGGTGGGTGGAGTTGGTGGAAGGGAGGAAACTTTGGTCACTAAGGGAGGGTGGGTAGATGGAAGGGGGTAAAGAGTTGGTGTGAGATTGAGGAGCAGATGGAATCATGGCGCTTTTGGAGGCTGGCTGGCTGGACAGGTGGAGGTAGGTGAATGGAGGCTGGTGCATACACAGAGACGTCAGATAGGAGAAAGCATTGGCTGGTGCAGAGAGCAGTTGGCAAAAGAGTGGGAAAGATGGCAGATGGGCAGAACATTTGGTGGAAAGCTATAGGGGCTAGGTGGTGGGTAGAAAGGTTGTCTAATGAGGGAAGATCTGCCTCTGTGGCCTAGGTGTCGGGCTGGCAGGCTTTCCTTGTATCCTCAGGCCTCAGCTATGCTTCGATGGTGGGTGCTTGTGGGCTCGTTTCAGGCAGTGGAAACTTTCAGTGCCCAGCTCGGTGGGTGGCCGTGACCATCGTCACCCTCACATCCTCCCTTCCCCTACAGAGCCAGGCTCTCCCCAGGCTCATAAATCCCCAGTCTGGCAGGCTTTCTGTAATTATCTCTGCAACAGTGAGCCCAAGAGGTGGGACAGGTGGGGCCGTGAAGAAAGGGGCTGACTCAGAGGCAGACGTCTGTCTTTCGGGGCTGTGTCAAATGTGGTCGGTGTCCAACACACCAGGGGCAGTGCCCAAGGCACCTCCCTGCCCACTGGCTGTCTTGGGCCCCACTCTGGCCACCCCTAAGGAACCTGGGCCTGGGAGGAAAGGTGTTCATTAGGTAACACTTGACGGACACCTCTCTCTCTCTCTCATCCTCTGTTGTTCTGTTTCTTGCTCCCTCTTGCTCTCACTCTCTCTTCTCACCTCTTTCATTCCTTTGGTTTTTTCACTCCCTCCATACCATTTCCTCCCCTTAGTTCTCCATCTGTCTCTACTTTTCCTTGCTCCTGACTCTTTCTCTGTTGTTTTCTCTTTTCATGCCTGATTCCCTCTCTCTCCCTCTTCTGTCTCTACGATATTTTTCTCTTGCTGCTTTTGTCGCTTTTCTGTAAACTTTTTCTCTGTGGATTCCTCCATCGTGGTCTGTTTGTTTTTTTTTCCTGCCTCTTTTCCTGCGGCCTCTGTCTGCCTCTCTCACCGGCAGGCCCGTGTGCCGTTGCTCCTGTCCACGTCTGTCTTTATGCAAAAGCAGAACAGTTTCGAGGGAGGTTCTCTCCTGGCTTTGAATTAGGTTTAGAATCTTCCCAGAAAGCATTTCTTCTTCTATTGATTTGTGATAAAAACGATGTAATTAACCCACTGGAAACCTCTGGCCAGAGCTGGAGAGGCAACAGGGGAAGGATGACAGTGACCACTCTCTCTGCAGACAGCAGGCCCTGGCCCAGGAGGGAGGGCCCTTTCCCCAAAGCAGCAGGTGAGCCCCGGGAGGGGACAGGATCCTGGCATAGACATAGGTGAGAACCTGCTGTTGAGTTAACTATCTTATGGGGCCCAGATTTCTTCTCAAAGGGTCTACAAAATAGCATGGTGGCTAAGAGCACTGGAATTAGAGAGGCCTGAGTGATCTTGGACAAGTGACTTAGCCTCTCTGATAATCACTTTGCTTATTTCTAAAATAGGATCAACAAAGACCTTTCTCCTGGAGTTGTTCAGAAAATTAAATGAGAATGATGGAAGACAAGCACCTGTATCAGTCAAGATTCAAGCAGGGAAGAAAAGCCACTAAGAATGGCGTAAAATAAAGGCTTGCTCAACGAGGCTTTGTCTCGTGCAGCTGTGGGGGCTGGTGGAGCTGTCCAGGGGAGGCTGTTGTCTCTGTGTTTGGGGCTGCAGTCCATGGGGCAAGCTGGCGGGGAAGGAAAGACGGACGTACACTGGACAGCAGGGACAAGCCGGAATTCAAGTGGCAGCGCACAAGGACTTGCTGAATCCGTGTGGGTCAACACCCAATCGGATCTTGGAAGCTGCATGTTGACTATGGCGGAGCCTCCCCCAGCCTGGGGCTCTGAGTGCCCGAGTGGAGCAGAGCCGCCACTCTCACCAGACAGCAGTGCCTGGAGTGAATGAACGGTTGCTGGTGCTAGAGATGCCACGAGGGGCAGAAAGAGAGAGGGGGAAACATACCCCAGCTTCTCCCTGCCCATCTTCCTGTCGTGCCTGCCATTGGCTAAAAATACCTGGAGGCCAGAGGACAAGGGGCTCTGGGAAGTCGATCCCAGAGCAAGTCGGAGGAAGAGCACCGCGTGGATCTGAGATCAGACAGGCGGTTGACGGGCTCAGAGTTAGGGGTTGTTGGGAGCACTAAAGGCTATGTGGGACACGACATGACACAGGGAGGGCACCTTGTGTGCGACCAGCCTGGCTGATGACTGGCTACCCCTGTCATTCCATTGCCAGGAAATGCAAGTTAAAGAGACTGTATTTGGTTCCGTGCCTGTCGAGTCTTCCTAAGGCAGGAGCTGCAATTTGAAAGAGACGCAGAAGGAAGGCAGTGCCCTCTGCAACCAGCAGGGAACTGTCCAGACCCCTGACAGGCTGACGTCTTGTCTTCCCAAACTCTGTGCCAGTCATTCCGGTTATTCCTTCACTTTGTCCTGCTGCCTCCGAGCGAGCACCCTGGGGACTGCTGGGAGATCCCGGCTCCTATCTGGTTCCACTGGGGTGGGCACCTGGCTGGCATGTGTGCAGGACAGCTGGGTCTGAGACTCAGACCTTCCCCAAATTCCTCTGAGGCTTTCAGGATGGGGGCTGGGGGCATGTGCTCCTCTCCTCTGCTCACCCCTCTGAGCATCCTAACGTTTGTCCCGGAAGCAGAACTGTCCCTGCTGAACTTTTGGTCGAACCAAATCAGGGTCACTGTGGTGACCTCCCTCCCTCTCTCCATCTGTCCCTCCTCTTTTTTTTCTTCCTTCCTCCCCTTTTCTCTTGCTTTTTGCTTTCCAATAATTTCTGATCATTTACTGTGTGTCAAGTATTCTGCTGTGTAAACAATGGAAACACAGTGGTGAGTAAAGTAGCTTAAAATAGTATATATTTTTGAAATTTAAAAACCCACTTCTAAATAACTTGTGGTTCCAATTAGACATTACGCAGTGCATCATATAGGAAAGATTTATAACTGAATAGTGAAGACAATTCTTCATATCTAAACTTTAGGTAGAATGAATTTAAAATGGTACTTTGGGCTGGGCGTGGTGGCACATGCCTGTAATCCTAGCACTCTGGGAGACCGAGGCAGGTGGATAGCTCAAGGTCAGGAGTTCAAAACCAGCCTGAGCAAGAGCGAGACCCCGTCTCCACTAAAAAAAAAAAATAGAAATAAATTAATTGGCCAACTAAAAATATATAGAAAAAATTAGCTGGGCATGGTGGCACATGCCTGTAGCCTCAGCTACTCCGGAGGCTGAAGCAGAAGGATTTCTTGAGCCCAAGAGTCTGAGGTTGCTTTGAGCTAGGCTGACGCCACGACACTCTAGCCCGGGCAACAGAGTGAGACTCTGTCTCAAAAAATAAAATAAAATAAAAAATAGTACTTTGATATTTATTTATAGCCTTGGATGCTTATCAAGAGCTCAAGAAGATAGGAAAAGAATCATAGACTAACCTCCAAAGGGTTTAGAACACAGGAAGGATTGGGTGTCGGGCAGATGGGAGGGGGAGGAGGGAATGGGTTTATACACATGTAATGATTGTTGTGTGCACCGTCTGGGGGATGGACACGCTTAAAGCTCTGACTTGGGTGGGGCAAAGGCAATATATGCAACCTAAACATTTGTGCCCCTATAATATGCTGAAATAAAAAAAAGAAAAACAGAACACAGGAAGGGCACAATAACATAAGAGCAAAAGTTAATAATATAGACATAAAACATATTAGGGAGGATTGACAAATCAAAAGCTGACTCTCTGAAAAAGCAAGAAATGAGAAAGAGAGCCCAACTGTATATACAACAGACAGGCATTACAAACAACAATAACAACAACAACAACAACGTGAATAATCTGATACCAAAACATAGGACATCTTTTTGAAGGAAATACTTTTAAGAAAACTATACTTGCCAAAACTGGCTTAAGAAAAAATAAAATCCCCCTATGGACCTAATAGCCCTTATCTTATGATTCCAGATAAAATTTATAATTCCTATTTTATGAATGAGGAAACTGGGGCTCAGAGAAGTAAGAAGACTGCCTGAGAGTCTGCAGGTTGCCAGGGCTGGGGGCAGAGCCAGGCGTGTCAGGGTGCAAAGACTCCCTCCCCTGCCACGGGAGGGGAGGGGAGTTGGTCTGGCGAGGCCTCTGCTGGGAAATTCCCTGGAGACGCCTGCTATTTGGTTGCTCAATTAGTAGGCACTTTTAATGCACCTCTAGGAGAGGCATTTGGCACCTGAATTTCCCCGAAGGTTTCATCATCACCGTCTCCAATTAGTGGCACAGCGGCCCTGCACCACCTGGAGATCTTTCAGTACCGCCCATCCTCGGGGAGCGGGCCGAGCAGCCTGGGCCTTGGCCCGCGGCCCTTTGACTCAGCAGCCGCCCTGACCCACGAACGCCCAGTGCCTGACTCGGTGCCCACAGCCGCAGCCCAGGCCTCGGAGCCAGGCCGCCTCTTGTGAGGAAGCAGGTGGTGGCTTGCCGTGGAGGCCACGTGGGTGGCAGACTCCCACTGTCCAAGGCCTCCAAGAAGCCCGAATGGGAAATGGGCCTTGAAATGGAAATTGTGGTTTTAGCAGGTGGTCGAAGACCCCACGGCTGACCTTAACCTTGACATCCTTGGTGAAGCGGCATCTGTCTCTTTTGCATCCCTTCACCCCTTCTCTTGGGAATATCACCCTGCCCTCCTCTCCCTGGAATTCTGGTTGCCAAGGACAGAGGCCTGCATTGGTGGCCACGTGACCCACGCCACGGAGCACTCTTTCCGTGGCTGTGCTGCATGGACACTCCCTCTTTCCTCTGGGTTTGCTCAACAGGAATGATGTAAGCCTGGGGTTTTTTGGGGACCTGCCCACCTCCCTCTGCATCACGATAGCTGGAGGAGAAAATGAGGAAATGCACAGATGCACACAGAGCTCAGAGAGAAGTTGAGACACTTTGACGATCCTCTTTGAGCTCCTGCGTGCAGGTGGGCTCCGGAGGCACAGTCCCCCCATTTCTCTGGGGCAGTAGGAGCCAACAGAGTCTCTTTGTTCTTAGATATGTTTGAGCTGGGCTTTTGTCTCTTGAAACCCAAAGGGTCCCGACTAAGGCAGTTCGCCTTGGCTTCCCTCTCTCTGTCCCTTCTGAGTGATTCACTTCCCTGGCACCTTGCAACAGTGCCTGGTCCCCTTCCCAGGAAGTGGGCTACATGCATTCACTTGAGGCTTCAAGTTGAATGAGTAGCTGGGCTCTGAATATTTTAATGACCTATGTAATGATAAGGCACCCTGCAAGAGACCCCGCAGAAGTGAGGACTCAATAGAACACATCTGCTCGGGGAAGGGCCCAGGAGAGAATAATACCCACATCTCACATTGATTGAGTCAGAAACGGTCCTCGCGATTGAAGTGAATTAGCTCATTCCATCCTCACGATAACTCTACCCTCAGCTGCTACTGTGTTTCCTATTTTACAGATGAGGAAACTGAGGTCACGGAGCTTCAGTAATTTGCCTGGGGTCACAGAGTGAGAAAGTGGTGACTCCAAAATTTGAACTCAGAGATTTTACTTTTCAGTCTATGTTTGAACCACTTGATTGACTTAAATAAGTTAGTGAGTTAAATTAGTGTGGTGGAATTCATTAGCAGGGGCGGGGCGGGGGGAAGAGTTTTTGGTCTTATTTTCAAAATTGCCTTTAATATATTTTATAAAGTTTTCTCAGTATAAAGACATATAAATAAAAAGGTAAGTATTTTTTTTGGGGGGGGGTGGCATAAGAATTACTACAAACGAGTGAAAGGAAGAAAATAAAAGAAACAATAAACCCTAAATCAATCCTCTCCATTGCTGCTAGAGTTATATCCCTAAAACAAAGTGAGTAACATGAGAAGCTGTCGTAGCTCCCCTCTGCCTAGAGGTAAAAGCTGCATTTTGTCACCTGACTTTAAAAGCTCTTCATGGTCTGGTCCTGACCACTTTCCCCAAATTATCTACTGCACCCCTTTTCCCCGAGGCAGCCTCACTGCACGGCTACTGACGGTTCACCATTAGAGTCCTGGCTAAGGGTCATACATTTCTGCAAAATTTGCGAAAGTAATATATTTAAACCGAGAGGGGTTAAGGCCACTCTCTGTTCCCCACTGGCATTTGTACTGTCCCTTCATCTCTTCTATACTCTCAGAGTGGCCCCAAATATGTTGCAGATCTGGCTAAGAACAAGTTGAGTTGGGGATACACTTAGTTTGGGTTTATAGTTATGTGATTTGCAGTTGCTTCCACAGTTAAGTAATTGCTAGTCACCCAGTGTAGAAATCTCTTCTAAGGACACTGTCAGCACGGACTGTGCTGGCTCGCATGTGGCGTGTGAGAGTTGTGACATGGAGGTTTGGGGCCGGAGGCTGTGTCACGACATGAACCTGTTCTGTGGGGCCCAAAATGTGGAGGAGAAACCACATTTGACATGTACAGAGCCAGAAGCTAGTCCGCAGAAAATTCTTACAAGTTCCAGAGGTCAAGTAGGAAAAAAATTTGATAGATTTTTTTTTGCCAAAAAATTCTTATTTTGCCAAATTTTGTTAACAGTCCTAAAAATCTATAAAGGATGATACTAACAAAGAGTTAGGAAGTGGAGTGACATTTTCTAAATTATCCATAATAGAAGACAAACTTTGATCAACTATTGACTTTATAGAACCTGTTATGATGGTATTGACGTGATGTGACAAAGAGGACGCAGTCAAAATAAGTAGGGAAACAGTATTATAGTGGTATGCCAGGCAGTTAATTAATGCAAAATATGGCTATTTTTCTGGATATTGTGACATTTCTGGTATTTGTCAGCTTTTTAAAATTAGTAATTAGTTATGATTTCTTTATTTATTCTAAATGAATGT